CGATAATATAAAGTGCTTCAAACTCAAATACAACAATTGTGCAATAACCCTCCAGTATGAAGAATTATTGCTTTTAACAGTGTGAATCTATGCCTAAGTTGTAGCTAAGCATGGATGAATCATAATATGAAATCTAAGTCATATTTATACAAATGTCAAGCCTTGGAAATCAAGTAACAACTTCAGAATTTGTTTGAGGGAAAAGGGGAAGTAGTTGGGTGATTCTCCAACTGCCATTTGACTGGGGCGTCAAAATAAAAGATAGCGACCGCCATGTAGGGGTGGCGAATGCCACCTTTACAAAACTCCAGGAAATAGTCTTTATGATCGTTGGCATGTGGGACACGTCATCCACCATATGGCGAACACCAGGTTGGACCCGTGTGTGCAAACTACTCTTTTTTCTTCGTTTTTTCTCCGTTTCGCTTCGTTTCTTCAAGTATGGCTCAAACTTGGTTTTGTACCTGAAATAAAGAAAAAAATACCACCATAATACTAGAAATAACAATAAAACAACTGTAAAACATGTGTAAGTTGAGCCAAATATGTGATGCGTTTAGATGTTATCAAAATCTCCCACACTTGAATAATTGTTTATCCTCAAACAAACATCATAAACATAATAAGAAAAACAACAACACAAGTAATCATCCTAGGCTAAAGACTCTAATTCGATCAAGTTCACATTGATAGATACTAACTCGAAAATTAAGGATATCGTAGTAACACGTTTCGCAATTGCGATCATAAGTCTCCCTTATACAAACCAATCTGCATCATGTCATTATACTTTGGCTTAACTTACTCATCCCATTTTTCTATCCTTTTCATTCAGGCACGATCACATTAAGCATATTATTTGTACTCACATGGTGAAGAAAACTGTTAGTGATCAGGATCCATATTGTGCCCATTTTTTAGCAATTTGATTATTCAATACAAACACATATACATTTTTTCTTAAAGGTTTCACTACCGTTAGGCTAAGTAACCGGGCGAGGGTTACCTAACTTAGAAGGTAGATTCCTTTTCAAGCTTATTTTTATTATTTCTTTTTATTTTTCTTCTTAAAGCACAAGATCATTTACCTATTTGCATTGGTTTGTTCACTTAGCGGTAATTCAGATGGTGTTGACTGCTAGGTTAAACTACTTAAGGACTCATTTAAGGGTGAAATTTCAAGGCCATGGCATAATAAGTATCCGGATCGATCTCTATAATTTGGAGACTCATGATGTTAAGACGATACTGATCTTTTAGGGGTTTTCCCAAGTCTCTTCAACCTATCCTAAACTTGTCTAAAAGCCGAAGGATTTCAAAATAAACACTGTTTTCTTTTTCAAAATATTTGGCATGGCTCAAGTAATGGGGAAAACAAACAAACAACATAAAACTACACATAACGATCGTCAAGCACATGAAATGATAAAGTACTAAATGCAATAAACTAAAAACAATAATAAACCTAACTAAAAAGCAATCAAAGTAGAAAGCATAAAAGAAAAATAAAGGCGGTAAAGATCCTCTCCCATACTTAAACTGAACATTGTCCCCAATGTTTCGATAAAAGGTAGAAAAGGATATGTAAAACCTAGACAAGCTACTATTCATAGCCACCACTACCACCTTCTCCCTGGTCTGGATGTTGCTGGTGACGACTCCTTCTTCGACGGTGAGAGCTCTGAGATATTTCGAGCTGCTGGATATGCGTTGAGAGTGCGGAGTTCGACTCTTGTAGCCTCGAAAAGTTACCTAGTATGGCCCCCCTGGTTAGCGTACACGAGAGCAAGGTCACGCATATGTGCGGCTTGTAGGCGCTGCTTCTCAGATCCTATGGTGAGTTGAGCTTCCATCACTGATCGGAGGGATCGGTCTGTCTGCCTCTGTGATTTTTTCATGAATTTCATCATGTCTTGTTGTTACTCGTACATGGCATAGAACAGACCATCCTGCTCTTCCTCACGAGTTCTCTGCTCTCTCATCATCTTCTCATCAAAATAGAAACCAGAATATGTACCTGCAAAAGGGTTAGAAGCTTGGGGTGGGGAGTGTACGGGTGAAAATGTGGGGGTGGGGAGTTATGAATGGGAGACATGTTTCTCCGATCATACTCATCATAAGCACCATCATCCCCCATGTAATCTTGTGGTACCAGTCCAGTAACAGGTGAAACATTCAAATCAAAAGTCCAATTTATTTTATGTCGTACATTAGTACGATTAGGACAAGGTAAAACAAAAATTTTGATGGCTTCATTATGAACCATGAGGTGATAACCTCCCTCTCTCCTAACTCTACACAACCGCATACTCCTTAAGAATTTTAGGTCAATGGTTTGGGGTGGTAGGGGTTCTGAAGTAGCAAGCTCAATATCGAGCCTAAGAACGCGAACAATGGATGTAATTAACCCTCCAAAGAAGATAGTCCCTTTCTTTTTCACAATGTCACACATATGGGCTATCATGAACGGGCCAAATTCATTGGCCTATGTGTAAGTGTTGCCTGTAAATAGAGCAACTCTTTGGCATGGGTGGTATTGCGGTGAGAATTGGATATCAAGCTATTGATTAAACTTGAATCACAAATATTTTAAAGATTCACCACCGAGCTTTTATTTATCCAAGAGAAAGGGTAAAGATCATAGAAAACCTTAAGTTTGCAATGTAACAACAATGCTAAGAGATTGTGGGGTTTGAGGGTTGGTTATACTTTGGTAAGGTGTTAGCATCTTAAGCATCTACAGTACTCTATAGTAACCTCTTGCTAGTATATGTGATTATTCGCTTATTGTTTTGTGTTTGGGTTTTATGGTGAGAGATAGGAACTTAAGGGTTTAGTCACTAATCATACTCACGAAAACTTTGCGATCTTGTACCAACATATTCTTACAATGATGGAATCATAGCACTTGTAATTCACCTCACTAGAGATGAGTGAACACTTGATATGATCAAGGTTCGAGGGGGAGGTAAGTGTTAAAGCCTTAACACTTACATGACTTAACAAAGTCAAAAGAGTTGTAAATTCTACCCTAAATCTAAGTTGAAAGACCTAATGACTCTAACAAGGTCAAGAGGGAAGGATATGCTAAGCTGCCCATGACATTGAGTCAATAGATAGACTTTCCCTTGGATTAAGGAACAAAGGAAACTTAAGGATGGAGGCTAACAAGCTAACATCACTTGGGGGAAATAACTTGACAAAGTTAAAATAAGTATGAAATGAAAGGATGGTATGAACAAGTATGATATTCAAACATGATATCAATTGCAAGCTTTCAAAGTAACATATGGTGTTAATTGACAAGATAAAGCACATGGTTACAACCAAAGAATTAGGATAAATGTGACAACATCTAAAGCAAAGACTTGACAAAGTCATAAGTCTAAAATAGGATTTAAGTTCAACATATCATGGTGACAACCAAGATAAACAAAGATATTACAACATCTAAAAAATCATGAAGTAAAGTTCTAACAAGACTAAAACATCATGGATGATAAGTTAAGGTTTATTGTCAAAGCAAGTATGCATTTAGGGTTAACTAACACCACTTAATCATGAATAAAATATAAATATGAATAAGTATGACAACACTTAATCATGAATACAATTTAAACATTTCAAGCATGGATAAGTTATTACAACACTTAAGCATGGTACAATACAAGTATGAGTAAGTCATAACAACACTTAATCATGAATATAATTTAAGACAAATAAAGGTAAGATCTCCTTTTGTACGACATTTTTCTATTATATTGCTATATTATTTTCGACACACTCAGTATTAGTGTCTTATTATTTTATATGTCCATTATTTTATTCTAGATCGTGTTTCATACTTCATCTGAAAACAAATACACAACTTATAGTAAAAAACACTTGTTCTAATACAGTTTGAAGATGTATCTCCGAAAAATTACCAAAAATGCATCTCCCAAACAATTCAAATATAAATGGCTCTTGGGTGACATGTTATGAATGTTTAAACTGAATCCAAAGATGTACCTCTAAAAATGTCAACGGTTATTCAAGAATAGGGTGCGTTCAAAAATGTATCTTCAAAATTAGAAAATATGTAAAAATTCACATGATACCTTAGAAACATATAGGATGTAATAAGGAATTCTCACCACTTAAACACCACTTCAAAGAGGTAGTTGTGATATGTTACATTTAATTTAATAAATTTATATCAATTTTAATTTTTGCCAAATTCAAAAACAAGATACTATTTGCTGCTCAAGACTTCAAACTTGAAAGTGGGAAAGGGGGCAAAATGCTATTCCTGTAGTCCATTCAATGTTTATCCTTGCAATGTTGCATTTTTATACCCCATATGTATTTTATGGAAACATCCAAATATAGCCAAAAATGATCTAAACAGCAAGAATAAGAAGCTGAGCAGACAGCAACACAGATAGGATAAGAAGCTGAGCAGGCAGCAACACAGATTGTTTATCTATTCTAGTTGCATTCCTTACAAGCAGATAAGAGACACTGAAAGTACTCACATCCTCAAAATCAATACAAGACAAAAATGAAAAACTGTCAATGATTTAAAATTAAAACATGAAGGAATGTGTGGAGGAAGTAGTTAGAACAGATTTGATACAAAATTCATAGACTTCATCCCCTCAAAGTACAATAGATAAACCGCGGGGAATCAGACATCAGTTCGTTGATTGAGCACCTATTTTGTAATAAAAAGAAACCACAAGAGTCTTATATTTTGCTAGCTACTTACTATCTGAATTATGAATTATAATAAAGACCAATCCCTGCATGCTAAATCAAGGCTTTCAATTACAGCCAGGGGAAAAAATCTCAGGGCTTCCCTGATATAGAGAAAGAATACATTCCCATCCTCAGAAACCCATCATACTACCTATAAACATTGCTTGGTCGCCGCCACACATGACCAGAAGCTTCCTCCAAGAATTAATTACTCCAGCAATAAACATATGGAATTGCTCTGGTCTCGAGACAGAGAAGCCTTAGTCACACTTGATATTCCGGTAGATCCTCCTCACGAACAAATTCGAACCAAGATGACCCACAGCTCCTGCACATTTGAAGACGGTGATATAAGAACACGCCAACAATTATTGTTATATGGTATTCAACACCTGATTAAGGAATCCTATGTCCCTTCTGCAGAGTGAATACATGATTCCATCATAGAATAAAATTAAACTGAAAACTTACCACAGAGAATTCCCAGTCCAAGACAAAACATCATAGTATATCCAAAATAGAAGCTAGTTTGGAAGAAGCCCGACATCTTTGTCTTCACATAGTAGTAGTATATTGAGTAAAAATATACATAAACACCTGTTGAGGCTGCTGAAAGAAAAGAAGTCCATTGCCAGTTGTAGTTCTCAGCATTTAATAAAAAGTATGTCCCCACAATTGTCACACATACGGTAACAACTATGAGAATCAGAAAAACCAGTAGCATGAAGCCATAGACATAGTACACCTGTTGGCCACAAAGTGGAAATGGAAAGAAGAAAGAAAGGAAAAACATGTAAGATAATGTGTTTACTCAGCTTTGACATGAACAAAAGTTGCTACTTAAAACATCATCGCATAGAAAAATCTCCATGATAAATAACTATTGGCTCTGCTCTGATAAAGTGCAAGTAAATCTTCACAAGACCGATCAGATTGAAGAAAAAAACAAACTTTATTGCATTGTAATTCACCTTGTAATTCCAGAAGGAAGTAAATACAAAATACATCTCGATGAATATGCTGCCAAAGGGAAGCAGTCCACCCATCAGAGAAACTACAGAGGGTGTGAGATACCACTTCTTTTCAGGAATGGGACGAGGAATGGTCTTGACGCGACAGGGATTATTTGGAGCACCACTCCAGTTTCTTCCAACAACTGTGCCAAGAAGAGCTAGAGGGAAAGAGATGAAAGCCCAAATAACAAAGACAACCACCATTGTACCAAAGGGGATTGCTGCTAGAGATCCATAGAATATCGCAACAGTATTTAAGATAAATCCAATTCCAAAGCACAAGAATGGAAACAAAGATGCTGTAAGGATCATGGATTTAATCCAACTTTTACCTGAAAAAGTAAGCATAGTCATAATCATCGAAAAAGAGGGGCGAGCCACCCAAACAAACTTGAAGAGAAATACAGCAGGGGTCAATGCAAAGTCTTACCCCCATTACGTGAGTACATCCCCCCACTTACATAACCAGAAATGACTGATGTGAGAGCATAACATACAATGAAAGTTGTGACAATGGCTCCTCGTCTGCATTTTAACGGAAATGTGCATAATAATGAAGAAATGAGCAAACAAAATACATCCAACAGGAAAACTATAGCAATGGATCACTCAATGATAATCAAGACATACACCTACAGGTAGGAGATAACAAGTACATGTAACATCAAGTCCACTTCGTACACAATCATTGATAAAATCATTCAGAGTAACATTATAGCTATTTCAAGGTCAAGTACTTACCCGACATACAACATCCCAACAATAGCTAACAAGATGACAAGAAGAATCAACAATGCAAGCTGTGCACCTGTACCAACTACAGCTGAAAGAAGTGCCAGATTGCGAGGAGGCCGAAAAACATCACCATGCACAAGTTTCCAACCAGATTCTTCACTGACATCTCTTTCCTAAAAATATTTCAGTGTTGACAAGGAATTGATCATCAGAATCACAATGGAAAAAAAAAAAAAAAAGTTAACACAGCCTTACCAGAGTTTCCAAATCATCATCTTCCCGAGCATACTTTGCATAGTCATTTCTCAGTGTTCGCATCAATATCATAGACACCAACCCAGTAAGGAATATAACCATCATAAAAGAGTTAAAAATGGAGAACCAATGAATCTACAAAAAGTCAGAGAAGCAGAGTTTGATCAGTGAAACAACCACAACACAAGAATGAGAACAAAGCAAGTAAACAATGGCAATAATAAGCACCAATTCAAGTTAAAATACAACAGGCAGAACTTATTTTTCACCTGATGCTCAAAGAATGGATAATCCAGATATACATCAAACCGGTGTCTAAAAGTGACATTAGTGGGAATCCATTTGACAGAATATGTCATGTCCAACGATCTTCCTACTTCCAAAGGTTTTGGATCATCATGGGTGAGGTTCACATGAATGATCTACAAAAAAAGAGGATCTTAAAATGGCACCTCATGAACCCCAACACAGCTAACAAAGTAGCAAAGATATCCCAACAGTTTTCTCACCTGATCTTGATTGTATTTAACAATGATGTTCTTGTGTGTGTAAAGGACATGCTTGCCACTGTCACTGTTCTTATCAGGATGCAGCTCTCCAACATACCCTTACATGAATAAAAAACCCTTCAATAATGATGAACATATGAAACGCAAAATGATATCAACCGGAGAGAAAAAGGCAGTTGTAGGCATACCCCATAATGGAAGGTCATCTGAATTTGTGTTTAGCGCATTGAAGATCAACGGATATATCAACCAAAGTAAGAAACAATGGCAAGAGTAAGTTATTCAGCAATTTAAAAAAAAAAAAATGAAAACAAATGATAAGAACCAACACAGAACGAATTCTCATTCATATTGTTATACTTATCAAACTAACATAATTTCAATTCCCCAATAATCCCTACAGCTAGGTATTGAAAAATGCTTAGTAAAGAACTTTAAACGAATAATCTCTATACTTTTGAAGGGAAGTCTTGGTGCAATGGCCGGAGCATCTTATAACACATATGTGTGGGGTGTGGCTTGCTCTCAAATTTATGTCTTTCTGACAAGGGAATCAGAAAGAAAAGTTGGCAACTTTGCATAATTTGCATGGTCATGCCAGATAGTATTACTAGAACTGGCAAAATGGGTTGGGCCAGCCCGAAAAACCCACAAAATGACTGGGCTAGGACAGCTTTTTAAGCCTGTTTCGCAAGCCAGGTTTTTTGGCCCACCTTGTTGAAGCTCAAACTCTAATCAGAGTACCCCGCTTATTACATATAAAAAAAACAACAAATTCTTATACATTGCCCACCGCCCAACCCGCATAGAGTAAAAAAACACTAGGCCCATTATTTATAATATACCACCAAAAAAAAGCAGTATGGCAGTATATATGTACTTCTGTGGTGGTGGTGGTAAAACTGCTGAGATGAAGAGGGACGCTGCACTAGGAGTAATGGGGGTAGCCCTACGATGTAGCACCTTGTGAAAGAAGTATGAATGCTGTGTTCAATTGAGTTTACTTGCCACAAAAATTGCGATAAAAATATTTTGCCGAAATTGTTTTTAATTACGTCTCTCTCTGGTTTATTGTTATTTCAAGTAGTTATATACCTCTGTGGGCTGGGTAGGGGCTTCCCCTCAATTATTTAAAACTATTATACTACCTTTTTTAAGTATTTGGGTGTGTTGACTACTGCTGCACATCTATGTTGCTATAGAATCCATTTTTAGGGGCAGATGTTGCTGAATAGACAGTTTTTCAACGTATTTTAAATCTGTTTTTTTAGGTAAAAATTAAAAGTTTTGTACAAGGTGGGCTAGCCCAAAAAACCTGTAACCCGCAAAGGGCCGGGTAGCAGCTTTGCCTGCTTTGGTTAAGGGAGTGCGGTTTGAGAGGAAAGTTAATAGAAACAATCAAGTTAACAATCCCGGTATAAAATGGTGACTAATAAGAGAGACTTTTTTGGGGTGGTTTTGAGGAGATCCGAGGAAATGTTAACATGTGAAATGGGATGACAAAGGAGATTAGAAAGGTAGTCAAATAGAATGTTAGTGTGTAATGTAACAAGATTGAGATTAAAAGATAATGTTACAAAACATGGTCTGTAGGCTCAACACATGAAGAAACTCTGTAGGACCTGGTGCCATTTTTTCACGTCAAGGTGATTATAATACCAGTTAAGAATGCCTAGCAGGCAATAACATCACATAAAAGTTTCTAAAGGCTTGTTTGGTTTTCGAAAGAAAAAAATTCCTATCCTCAACTTTAGAAGCACCACTTTGTTCTCATTTTCTTTCTAGTTTTAAAAGATGTGTTAAAACACTGTTGGCCTTTTCCCATGGCATCTCATTGAAGTTGATTCAAAGCATCTGATTAGATAGACAAGACAGTAACTCTTTCACACACAAAAAAAAAAAAAAACATCCCGTGCTTTTTGTGACGTTTGTCCATACTGGGTTCTAAGAGCCAATATTTTCTGGGTAAGATATTATTTACCCTACCGTCTTCATTTTATAGAAGAACAAAGGCAAACAAATGCATCGAGCTTCTAAATAGTTCTAAACTTTTTTTACTACCCATAAGTACATTTCTTTTATCAATTCCCAGAGTAAGAGTCAAAGAAAAGAAACATCGCACATACCCATGAAGAATTCAAACCAGTAATTATTTTCTATTGCATCCTTGAACTGTTTAACCTTTGCATCATCAAGATTCAAGCGGCAAAAAGTGGTCCTTTCCACATTCCCTAAAAAAAGATAAAATAGCTATTAAAGCCAGTCTGTCTACTAATAGGTCTTCTACGGAAATATAAAAAAAAAAAAAGGACGAAATAAGCCTGCATACCTAGGTACTTTATCTCAATTTGACTATCGATAAGTTCATTGCCTCCAAGGACCTCGCCTAGACCACCCCATTTGTGAGAAGCATCACCAGGTGGACGGCAAAATGGGAGGCTGTAATAGTTGTATGTTTCTTGTGGATTATTATAAGGACCTACTTTGTTCACCCAAAGGGTAACTGGGTCATCTGGTTGATACTGCAAAAAAATAAAACAAAACAAACTACATGCTTTAAAGAGATGACTATTGTCTGCTGGAAGCTACATATAAAAAAAAGACGCATAATTTAATCATTACAATAAGCTCAAGAAAAGGAGAGCAGGTATAAGAAACACAGATATCAAATACAATATTGACACTGCCACGTAGACACAACACAGGTAATAATTTGAGAAAATGAAAGTGATTAAATGTAACTACATGTGTTAATCATTCGCCTTTAATCTGTTAAGTCTGTGCAAAATAGGTTACAATTGCTTAAAGAGATTTACTAGTACATTTCAGATATTAATTGTTACCATGCATGTAAGTGTAGTGTACTATAGATAATTATTTCTGTGTCATCATGAATCAACATAAGATACATGGTTCATACATAACACACAGCATGCAAGCACTGTAAGGGAAAGACTGCAACACCTAAGCACCACTATGCACTAACTCATTTTCTAAACAAACTTCCCATTGGATAGGTATGTCATATGTGCATCATCATTTCAACATTTGGAATGATAAAAATATAGCTAACAGACAGCACAAAAGAATAAGCTAAGGACTTTAAAACCCACCCTCTTGCAATTTTCAACAAATCTTGTGTTTGTATACAAGCTAAGACTAAATAAAGGAACCAAACAACAATGAATTTCCTTAAATATTGAATATCAGCCAATGTCTCCGACGTTACAACAGTAAAATAACAGGTATGTATTAGAGTAAACAAGCTAGTTAATCACTCTATTATTAGAAAAACAATGAATAATTGCACACTCTATCTAACACACACACAAGTGAATTTTCATGTTTGCGTAATTCCAAACATATCAAATATCATGAATTGAAATTGAAATTGAAATCAATGTCTAATGGTAATGGCAATCATCTAAAAATCCACATCAAAGGCACAACCAGAGGCGTGCATGGTGAAATGGAGTGAGCAAACAGTTGAGATCTGACACCAAAAGATTCAACTATATAACTCGGATTTAGAACAGAAACGAAAACAAAAACGCGAAGCTGAGAAAATTGAAAGTGGATCTAATTCATAAAAATCAGATCGAGGAGTGGAATTGTGAAATCTGACCTTGTGATCTGAATCGGAAGCGAAGGCCGGAGAGAGGAGAAGAAGCAGGAGGAGAGAGAATCTGAAGAGCATGGTGGTGGCGGTGGTGGTGGTGGCGGTGGTGGTGGTGGAGGAGATGGGATCTCCAACCTTGATGAGAGAGAAAGAGAGATATAGAGAGAGAAACAAAAATGAGGACTTAACCTTGAAGAATTTGAGACTCTGTTATCTCACTGCCTCCACTTTTCTCAACTCAACTATACAATTACAATTATACAAACTTTTTTTTAATGAAAGTTGTATTATTTAAGTGTTATTTATGATTAAAATTTAATTTTGTTATTCAAGGTTAATATTTATATGATCAAATCACATTCAAAAATAAAATAAACTATAAATATATTTTTTTATGTGATTCGATTAGATGTATTTTTATATCAATGGTGCATCAAAATTTGCAAGCTATTAAATATTTTTATAAGACAATTTTAAATATATTCTTAAAATCATAAATATTTTTAAATATTTCTTATTTTATTAAATTTTATATATAAGTAGTTAAATATAAAAACTAAAATGATATATAATTTAGATATATAGATTCAATTGATCATCTTAACGTTTTAAAAGAGTTGGATATTTTTTTTAAATACCAATAACTTGTAGAATGCTGATGCCATAAAATGTACATAAAGGATTAAACTCACAAAGTATATTATCATACAATTTACACAAGATAATTGTTGTTGTTTTTTGAATTAATTACATTATATAAAAGACAATATGATATGGACACATGTTCAACATGATGTTTTAAAAGGTATGACATATTTAACTCCAGTTGTTTTTGTGAAAACAAATGTTTTAGTATGTGGTCATTGTATGTCGGACAAGGTTGTTGTAATATGTGTTCGTTTTTTAATTGTCTATAGCGCAATTTTTTGTTACTTGTGCAACAAAGATTGTTGTTATCTTTTAACAATTTGATTTATTTGATTATTTAATTAAATTAAATTTAAATTAAGGAGATTTAAATTTGAATTCAAATCAAAACAAATCTTTGTATGGAGTTGCTTTGGAGAAACAAATCCTAACTAAATCTCCATCATATTTGGGTGAGATCAATGCCTAAATCCAAGGAGAAAACCCCGTTTATGGATTGCTATATAGAGAGACTTTTTCCATGCCTTGAAGATGACGAGCTTGAGTGGTATTTTGTGCTTGTAGGTTGAATTTTTGTTTGTGTTAATTGTCACCACGATATTCCTTAATTCATATCATAAAACATAGTAGTTGGCTTGTTTAGTTGAGTTGTATATTCAACATTGAATCAGTCTGATCATTATTGATGATCACTAGGGTTGGTGATTGAGAGGAAGTAAGAGGGATTATCATATTTATAGGGAGTCCTAAATAGAAGTACACTAAGGGTATAATTGAGAAGAGGGACATTGAGCAAGAGTATTTTTTTAGACGGGCAGTGAATAATCGAGCAATGAAGCGTGTGTCAACCATTCGATTATTTGAGGAGCAAGAAAGAGTAAACTCTTCATTCCCTTTTCGTCCAAGTTATTTGAGAAAATTATTAGTGAAAGACGAACACTATAGCAATATGGCATACGCCAACCATTTGATTGTTCGAGGAACAGGAAGGTGTAAAACCCCTCACTCCTTTTTCAACCAAGTTTGATTAAAAATTTTTATTTAGATGACAAAAGTTTGAACGGCATGGCATACACCAAACATTCGGTCATTCGAGGAGAAGGAAAGTGCAAATTCCTTGTTCCATTTTCAACTGAGTTTGATTAAGAAAAAAGGTTTTAAATTCTTTGAGTAAACGGAAAAGAAGCTCAATGTTGATCGAATGTTTATTCCTGTTAGTTTGAAAATGGTTTAAACCTAATCAAAAAGATTTTAAAATGTTAGTGAAATGTTTTAATGGTGGTGGAAAAACAATTGATTGGCGTAAATTGCAACACAGTTACGAGTTCCATCGCAAGGGCCGCAAATTCTAGTGTGATAATGCGATGGTGTACCCTAACGCCACAAACAAATCGAATCGCGAAATTGCATATAAAGAAACGCAACATAAAGGCAAGGTAAATGAGTCGTATACAGTATAATTACACAACCACGCATTCACCACAATCAAATCAAAAGGTAAACAATATCAAAAATATCACAACGCGAGGACGCAAATTAAGTTTTACGTAACACAAGATCGTGTGATGCAAAGTTGTTAAACACATAATTTAAATTCGATTTAAATGTAACAAAAATTGAATCGTTGTATGTCAACACAAATCGAATCGCGAGTAACCAACGTGAAGTGCAGCATTGCAAATAAATCTAACGCAACAAATCGTATCATAACGAAAGTGACGTACGAAACGCATAATAGCAAAAAGAAAACACGTATTGACGCTATGTTGTACTACCAAATGCGAATACAAACCCAAATTAAGTGTGACAACAACGAAGTTGCAATGTCGCATGTAAACAAGAGAAAACTAAGTCAGCAACTTGCTAATGCAAAACATGTTCATCGCAGTCGGAAAAAAAAAACACATTTAACACAATGTTGATAAACGACAAACAGTAACACATATACTTAATATTTTCATCATTATATCAAACAAAAATCCAGCAACGTGACAACATTAAAATCATGTCGAATATGAGAATTTGATCTGATCTCAATCCAATGAAAAAAAATAATTGCAACAGCATAATCAAAAATTGAAAAATATTACATATTATTTACAATTATCAAAACTTAACAAAAGTCAACACGGTCCATAAATGAATTCAACACGAAAACTTATGCAGTCAAAATATAAACAAATAAACATTTAACAACGAATCATCAACATAAACAAACTCGAGTATAATAACAGAACATCTTACCCACCGCAGCAGAATCGTCACAGATATGAATTCGAAGTCTGGTGCTTCTATTGCCGCCATTGGTATAGTGGTGGCTGTTACATGGTGGTGTCGGAGTGTGTTATAGCGTGCAGAGGCGGTGGTTGGCCATAAAACATGCACGATAGAGGTTTCCGAAAATTGAGGATGGTCAGAGTTTGTTTAACTGCAGTTGCTAGTGGTGGTTGGTTGTGCGGTTGGAGTCTTATAGTGTTTGTTTGAGGTTGCAGGGAGGAAATATATGGAAATGGAACGGTGAGAGGGAAAGTTGAAGTATCAGGTTGCTTTACATGGTGGGCTTGATGGTGGTGTGTGTGTGATTATGGTGTGCATGAAGATGAAAGAAAAGTGAGGTGTGAGTGCTGTTAGAAAAAAGAACGAGTATCATCTGCGTTTTTTGTGTGCCAAAATAAAGAAAATGAGTGAGTTGGTCAAATGAAAATAGGGATTTGTTTTTCTTTTCTCACTAAAGTTTTTCTCTTTCTCCTTTTCTACTTTTTCTTTTTTTCATTGTTCTATTTTCTTTTTCTTTGGCAAATAAGAGTAAGATCTTATGAGAGGAAAGAAGATTTGTTTGTATTGGAAGAAGATAGTAGTGTCTCTTTGACTGAACCCTAATTAGATTTGTGTTGGTGGCACAAGGCTTGTACCTGGGCGCGTGCCTATAGTCGGCACTTGTGCTTGTCACATGGGTGAGACATGCCGACAGTAAGGGCCTTAGCTGTAATATTGTTTCAGCTTTTTGGCGTTCCATGGTCGAGATAATTCTTCCCCAATGATGTATTCTAAGTAGTAGGCCCAATTCTCTGTTTTTGCTCTAACACGATAGAGTCCTTGCCAGTTTGCGGCGAGCTTGTCTTCGTGGAAATCTTTATGATTCCTTCTCAAGACGAGGCTGCCTACTTGGAACTCTTGTCGTATACCTTTGGCATTGTGCTTGATTGTGATTTTTTGTTTAACTAAGGCCTCGCGGAGGGTTGCCCCTGATCGGATCTCTTCGACGAGATCGAGCTCCTTCCTTAGGGCTTCCCCGTTCGTTTCCTCGTCCAAGGGCGCCTCAGTCCGCCTAGAGGGCACGTGAGCCTCGATGGGGATTACCGCCTATGTCGTGTATGCTAGGTGAAAAGGGGTTTCCCCAGTTAAAGAATGGGGTGTAGTGCGGTAGGCCCAAAGCACGATGTGTAGCTCCTCGACCCACTGCTTCTTTGTTTTGTCCAGCCTTAGCTTGAGGCCCCGTAGGATTACTCTGTTTGCTGCCTCAACTTGCCCGTTAGTTTGAGGATGCTCGATAGATGCAAAGTGTTTTTAGTACCCAGTTGGGCGACGAACTCCTAGAATTTTTTGTCTGTGAATTATGTCCTGTTATCAGTGATGATCGCTTTAGGAATGTTGAAGTGGCCAAGGATGATTCTCTTGTAGAAACGAAGAATGTTGTGGGTCGTTATTTTGGCAGGAGCCTCAGCTTCTATCCACTTGGTGAAGTAGTATACACCTACTATCAGATACTTGTTCTAGTTTGACCCTACAACAAATGGTCATAGGATGTCTAGGCCTCATCATGTGAATGGCCACAGGGAGGACACCGCCTTGAGTTCATTGGGTGGTGCCAAGTGAATGTCCCTGTGTCACCGGTATTTGTCACATTTTTTCATGTGTTCCCTTACATCGTTTTGCATGGTCGGTCAATAGTATCCTGCCCGAAGAGCTTTCCTCGCGAGGGATCTCCCTCTGAGGTGTTGGGCGTTGATTCCTTCATGGATATCGCATAAGACGTGGGCGAACATTTCTTCCTCAACACATTTGAGAAGGGGTATGGAGAATCCCCGCCTATACAACTTGTTTTCAACCAGAACGTAGGAGCAGGCTCTACGCCTTACTACGCTGGCCTCCTTGGGGTCGGAAAACAGTTAGTCCTTTGTGAGGTAATTGTATATTGGGGTCATCCAGCAATGGTTGTCGCCAACGACGTGTACGTCGAAGGTCGTGGACGCTCTCTCAACGCTAGGTCGTGGGAGTATTTTTTAGATGACGGATTTGTTCCCCCTTTCTTCTTCATGCTTGCTAGTTTTGATAGGATGTCTGCCCGGATGTCGTGTTCACGGGGAACATGTTTTACTTCTATGGAGGTGAACTTTGACATTTTCTCCTTAACCAGGGCCAAGTATTCA